GCATGCAGTTCTTTCAGCGCTACATATTTGAGTATTCAGACATGCCAAAAAAGAAGCCATGTTGTCTCTCCAAGATCCAGTCACTAGACAAAAATAAGCTAATCTGACACACATGGATTAAAGTAAACTCATTTAGACTAAACAGACAATTTTGGCATTATGTAACTCTTGTTCATGTTTTACAGTAGGCAGCTACCCTGTTTTCCCGAAAATAAGACCTAACCTGAAAATGAGCCCTAGTATGATTTTTCAGGAAGCTTGTTAATATAAGCCCTACCCCCAAAATAAGCTCCAGTTAAGTGAAACCCTGCCCGCCATCATTGTACAACAGCCAGAAGAAGATGACAGGACTGTATTTGTTGTATGTGAAAAAAAAAATAAAACATTCCCTGAAAATAAGCCCTAATGCATTTTTGGAGCAAAAATTAATTTAAGACCCCATCTTATTTTCGGGGAAACACGGCATATAGTAGAATCAACTCAATAGCTGATGGGAGTACTAAAACCAAACAGAGTTGGATGCACTGATGACTTCAAATCAAGATGAAGATGACATGCAAAGTCGAGATGAGTTACTGCATCAGTAGAATCACCACCCATTCTGTTGTTGTTGTTTAGTCATTTAGTCGTGCCCAAGTCTTCGTGACCCCATGGACCAGAGCATGCCAGGCCCTCCTCTCTTCCACAGCCTCCCGGAGTTGGGTCAAATCCATGTGGGTCGCTTCTGTGACACTGTCCAAACATCTCATCCACCCATTCTATACAGGTATAATTACTCTAACAATAATCATTTAAAAACATATAGCCTTCTACCTAACAATCCACATGTTGAACATGTCCTATGCTTTGTTGTATTTTAATGGTCCTGTAAAACTTGGATATAGTAGACAGACAGGAAGGCTAACTGTACAATTCCACACATATTATGGCACAATTAGGTCCTGTTGTGTTTCTCTGTCTCACAGGGCCTCTCCAAACAGACTGCAATAGCCAGTTGCCAGTGGCCGTGGGCTACCATATTGAAGCAGTGGGCAGCAAGGATGTGAAGAATCAATTTCATTTCTCAAAATCCTATTTGGCATTTCTCTGTCCCAGTTTCTCTCTGTCTTTGTCTAACTTTTCCCCTCCCCTTGTGGAAACAAAAGGAGGGTGGGAAAAACAAAACAATCTAATATTTCAGCATGCTTTTTCTCTTAAACTATGCATTTTTGAATGCACTGTGTGGAAAATTTCCCCTCTGGGGACTACATATTGTAGAATCCATCCATCAAAAGAATCTATGCCAAATCCAGCGGCTACCATGAATGATGGGTTCTGGGAGTTGTCGTTCAAAACAGGAATTTCTCCAGGCTCACCTTTTTTCAAAAGTGCGTCTGTGCACTTTTTAGATATCTGCATATTTTTCAAGATGCACATGGAGTCCAATTTTCTGTAGGAAAATGCAAACCTAATGGGTTTGCGTTCCGCCCTGGCTGGATGGAGATCTGCCCTCAGCTTTACCCAGGAGCCACCAGCTTCTGTGTTTCCAGCTTGTTTGCCTCTCTGACTTATCAAAGGCAAGCAAAAACTGCCGTGGAGGAAGACGGTAGACCCAGGTTCCCATTCTGACAGCCCCAGAGCACCTGATGCAGCTTCTGGTCACACCCTGGAGGCAGATTTAGGTGGTTGGTTGGTTGTTAATGATTGATCAGAATCAAAGGGGAAGTGTTCTGAGGAGGGGAAGGATGCACATCATCCCTCTGCGGTTTCTAAGCCATCACAGTTTCTGGGTCCTCAGTTACATTAGAGAATTTGCCTTAGATTACCTTATGCCATGGAGGAAGAAGTCGACAGGCCTATTGGGACAGACAGGCAGAGGTTTCCACAGCTGCACAAGAAGCAGAATCGCAGCAGGTGATTTTTCCCAGCACAGAGAGATTAAAAAATGGGGACTTTCCAGCTATAAAATGGCCTTCCGTTCAGCCATGAAAAGGATGAGATCCAACTAGACTCTCAGTTCTTTGCAACCTTAAGATGCCAGATGCTTTTGGACATCTAGCAACCCTCACCCCCAGAAGCCTTCACCAGTAGCTGTGCTGTCCAGAATTTCTGGGAGCTGTAGTCCAAGGTTGGAAATCACTGAACTGGAGGGTAAGCTCAGATTGGCCAGCAACCAGGGAGTGGTTCTATGTTTCACCTTCCTCTGTGGCATGCCAGGCTTTGTCCCATGAGCCATGTCAACATACAGTGCATAAAACACTGCACACTCTACCTTGGGTCAACCCAAGATAATTTTAATTCTTGAGAGACTGTAGACAATAGCAACACCTCCACCTCTCTGCTCCACTCAAGCTATAGACAGTCTTCAAAGCCAGCCTAGTTATATTGGGATGCAGAACACCCACCCACCCAAAGGACCTTTCCCCCTTCCCAGGACAGTCTGTACAGGCTACGCTGGAGCCAGGATTGTTGGGTCACCAGCATATTCTGTCCACAAACTTCAGGGCCAAAACCTGAGATCAAGGAGTAGCTCCTTGCGATGTCACAGGCAAGGAGGACCCTTGTGATGTCATAGCAGAAGAGCACGAGAGTTAGAAAAGAAGCCATCACGTTACACCAATAAACACCTTTGTGCTGAGCTGGAAATGGATGAAGACAGTTTTACCTATGCCCAGGTACCAAAGCTACTTTGCACACAAAAAGCCACTTTATCTTCCTTCAGCACTGCTCACCTTGTGATCACTCATACACACATCTAGAAACACAGAGAGGAACAGCCA